TAAGAGCATTGGCTGTGCTTGCAGAGGATTGAGGTTCAGTTTCCAGCACCCACACAGTGGCTAACAACATCTGACGCCCTCTTCTGGCCTCCTTGGGCATTGCACAACATGGGTGTACTTACATACATGCAGGCAATGCACTTTACACATAAAATAAAAAAAAATAAATAAAATACTTTAAAAGAGAAAAGGTGTAAGGTCTCAATGTCCTCTTCAAGGGCATGCTCCATGACCTCTATTTTCCAACTCAGCCCCACCTCCTCCCAACAGCACTACCAACTTGGGAACAAGCCTTCAACACTGACCCATAACAGGATCCCAATAATTTACCTCCAGTTACTCTCTCACCTAAAGGAATTGCTCTCTCTGAGCCTCAGGACATCCATGACTAAAGACCCTGGTTATTTGAACCTGTGATGTCTTTCTGTATTAGGTCAGCTTTGCTGAGAACCATTGATCTTCATCCAGTGTCATGCTGTCATGCATCTCACTTCCACTTAATTTTATTTTTTAAATATTTTATTTTTGTGTTATGTGTATGAGTGTATTGCCAAGTGAATCTGTGTTGTGCAATGCCCATGGAGGTCAGAAGAGGGTGTTAGATCAAGGTCTGGAACTGGAGTTACAGACAGTTGTGAGCAACCATGTGGGTGCTGTGAATCGAACCTCGGTCCTCTGCAAGAGTAGCCCGTGCTCTTAACCACCGAGCTATCTCTCCAGTCTCTCCACTTATTTTTAAGTTTAAATAGATTCAGTGAAAGAGTATGTGGCTTGGTCAAAGTCAAAAGAGTTCTGAATGTAAATGATGGCTGAACTTGGGAAATAAGTGATGGAAGTCAGAGACAGAAAGGGTGTATGAACATTTTTCTCATTGCTGTGATTAAATACTTGACAAGAATCAATGTAAGGGAGGCAAGGTGGCTCAGGGGATAACAGTCCATTGTGACAGGGAAGCCACAGTGGCAAGATCAGCTCCTTTCTATGGTGCCAGGAGGCTGCCTGCTCACACATTGAGAGATTGAAGCAAGGAAAGGATACTCAACTGGATTTCTCCTTTTCCCCATTTTATTCAGTACAGAACCCTCGCCCATGGAATGGTGTTGCCCACATTCGGGAAATGGCTTCCCATCTCAGTTAATCCTCTCTGGAAATATCCTCATAAACACCCCCTCAAAAGGGTACTTTGATAATGCCCTAGGTATTTCTCAATCCAATCAAATTGACAACCAAATTAACTATCGTGGGGCTGGTAAAATGGCTCACCAGGTGAGGATGCTTGCTGCCAAGCCTAATGACCTGAGTTCTATACCTGGAACCCCCATGGCAGAAAGACAGAACTGACTCTTGAAAGTTGTCCTTTGACCTCCACATGTGCATTGTGGTATATGCATGCATAAAACATGTGTGTAAGTATTTATATATTTATATATAAATATAAAACAAACAAACAGAAAAATAAAAAACCAACCACCACTAATCCAACTCTAGTTAATCCAACACCCAAGCACACTACTTTAAATAATAGTTTTCCATACTGGCCCCTATAGTCTCATGTTGATCTTAAAATGTAAAATGTATTTTAATTCACCTCTACGAGTCCCTAAAGTCTTCAGAGTTGTAACATTGTTCAAAAGCCCATGTTCTAAGTCTTCTCTGAGGATCAAGGTATTCTATTAACCTGTTTTTTAAAAAAAGACAGGCTACATACTTTCAATATATAATGATACAGTAAACATACACATTCCATAAGGGAGGAATTGGGGCATAGAAAAGGAAAGGTCAGGCCAAAGTAAGGCTGAAACCTAACAATTAAAACACCAAATCTTGAAGCTCAATGAGAACCACATTTGGGGTTCTTAGTAGAATCATCTGGGCTCCAGTGGCCATTTTCTGGTATCTCCAATATTCTGGGGTCTTCTCTGAAACACAGGCCTCACCTCCATAACTTCATGCATGGCCCATCTGGACCTTTGTGCTGATAGTTCAACCCTGATACATGCTGGTTGCCTGACCTTGCTGGTTTTCTGCAACCTTTGTATAAGCACCCATGTTCCCTTCATTCTTGCATTTCGCATGCCTGCAAAACTAGCTCCACATGAATTAACACCCAAGTTCTCTTTCCAGCTTGAAATTGTAGCCTTGCTCTCTTGGGTTACAGTGGAGTAGCCTGTGCAACTTACCAACTGAACCTAGGAAAGCACTTCCTTTCCCTGAAGGCTCTATCTGTTCAAGCATTCTCCTTTCTAATGAATTTGCATTAGTATCCTCTGGAACTCTGGTTGGTGGGATCTTTTCCTTTTGGTGGGATCTTTTCCTTAAGGCACCTTTTATATTGTCCCTGTGCAATATCCAAAGTGTCTCTTTAATGGTGATACTCTCTTTAACAGTTACAGCTACTTTGTTTGCAACTACCCAGCACTCAATTTTCACTGGGTTTAGGTTCCTTTCCTCACCAAACTGCACAATTTTCTTTTGGTTTTGATTTTTAAAATTTATTTTTATTTTATGTGTATGAGTGTTATGTCTGCCTGTGTATAAGTGCACCCATGATGTGCAGTGCCTGCAGAGGACAGAAGAAGGCATCAGATCCTCTGGAACTGGAGTTATGGATGTCTGTTAGCCGCCATATGGGTGCTGAGATTTGAGCCTGGGTCTTCTGCAAGAACAGTCAGCGCTCTTAACCACTGAGCCATCTCTCCAGCCCCCAAACACTCAATTTTCATCTTTATGCTTCATTGTTCACTCCCACTGTTAACCTGGGTAAATGCAGTGAGCAATAACCATGGCACAATCTGAATGCTATGCTGTCTTGAAATTTCCTCTTCCAAACATATCAGTTAATTACTTTTAAATTTAGCCTCACTCAAGTTTTCAGGATCTGAGCCTAATGCAGGCAGATTCTTTGCCAGAATGTACATGAAAGGCTTTTAATCCAAAAAAATCTTGTTTCTCTCTGCCACATATGAGTGTGGCAGACCATTTTCTATAGACATTCTGGTCATCTGAGCTTCTACTGGCTTTAAGCTTTGTTCATAGCACTCTAGGGCTTCTCTAGACAGCAGCTCTAAACTCTTCTGTCTAGTTCCTATAAATGAGTTTCATAAGCCTCAGGGTCAGGTAGTTATAACCCTGACCTCACTTCTAGGTACCATGTTTCTATATTAGTTACTTTCCTTGTTGCTGTGACTAAATACCTGACAAGGTAAAACTTAAGGGAAGAAGGGCTTATTTTGATTCATGGGTTAGGGGGATATAGTCCATTATGGAGAGAAAGACATGACAGAGGGACTGGTTCCTGTTCATAGCAATTGGAGACAGCTTGCTCATGTCTAAACAAATCAGAAATAGGGAAATGCCAGCCTTAGTGGCTTTCTCCATTATCCCGTTTTATTCAGCCCATGGGACAATGATGCCTACATTTAGGTTGAGTCTTCCCCTTCAGTTAATCTTCTCTGGAAACATCTTCACAGATACACCTTAAAGGTGTGCTTCACTAGTGCCCAAGATCGATCTTTCCTTCCTTCCTTCCTTCCTTCCTTCCTTCCTTCCTTCCTTCCTCCTTCCTTTTTTTTGTCTTTTTGAGACAGAGTCTTCCTGTAGCCCCAGCTGGAGCTGGCTACAAGTGCTGGGACTAAAGTCACAGGTCACCACACCCAGCTCCAGGATGTTTCTTAATACAATCAAGTTGGTAATCAAAATTAACCATCATAATGGATGAGTTGCTATTTTTTTCATTATTGAGCTTTTGTAATTTCATACAACAGTTCTTAATCAAATTTAGAGCTTCTTCCCCATCCATGCCTCCCCCAGTTCCCCACTGGACCTCATGTATTCTGCCATACATGTTAAGTCTTATCTAGTCAGGCATTTGTACTCAGATGTCCTGGAGTGTAAATTCATCTACTAGAGTCTAGTCAGCCCATCTAGAGATTGTATGTAAGGCATATTCTCCTTCATCTAGCAGCAATCAGTCTCCAATAGTTTTCAGTTTAGTATCACCCACCACCCATTTCTTCCCTCCCATCTAGGCCCTTGTTTAATTGAGTTGGCATGGGTCCTGTGCTCAATGCCACCACTGCCATAAGTTCACCTGTGCAAGCTTCCAGTGGTCTGAAAGCCTCTTACTATATGCTAAATATTGATGCTTATACTTACAGACAAGCATACAGTACACTACTCATCAAAGAAGCTTTTTTTTTTTTTTTGCAGCAGATGGAGGCATCTGAGAGATGCCCAGTACTAGGTGGCACATCTACAGTTGAACTTCTACAACTAAGGCTCATGAAACAGTGGAACAAGGGGTAAAGAGAAAGCTAATGCATCTCTGAACTCCCACTGGTAAAGATTCCTTATACAACAGAGTTCAATGCATACAGAAAGCCACAACTGGCCAAGTTTTACAGAATAAGAGACTACAGAGTATATATCCTTGGATAGGGCTCCTATTTTGAACCTCATCTTCCCATGGCCCAAGGGACCATTTCTGAAGAGGGGGCAGAAAGTTTGTAATAGCCAGGGCTGGCTCATGAACACAGTGGCTATTTTTTATATTCAAAAAGTGTTGGAAAAATAAAATGCAGCTCCAAACTGCAAAGCAGTGAGAATAGGAATTGGTACATAGCAAGATATGGAGCGTTTACACAGAGAGACAGCCTCTAGGACCCAAGTATAAATGTTATATAAATTAAGAGGATTGAATAGGAGGAATTAAATGAATTTCTTTATCCTTTATTGTCTAATATTAATAGCTATCACATAGTCTTTTAGGGATAGTAGCTCTGTAATTTTTTTGTGTTTGAGCAGAGGATGCTAGCATGTTTTTGTATACAAGTCCATCATATTTGCAATATGATCTGATTGAGTGCAGATGCCTTACACTATGATTTTGTTTATGCTGAATTTATATCATAGGTCAAATGTTCCCTAGGGAGCCCATGTCTCGATTTAGGAAGTCTGCCAATTTTGAAAAATATGGTTTTAATTACTGATTTCTCTTACAGTCTGGCTGAAACTGGAAAGAATCTTGATGAAACGAAGAACAGATCAAGCATATCTCTCATGGCTGCAGAGGAGGAAATAAATCGGCCAAAAAAGCAGTAAGAAAACAGTGATAGCATTATTGCTGCTGCTCATGAATTGCTGAGTTTAACTTTCCAGTTCACAGTCAAAGAGAAAGGCACTTTTATATTTATTTAGGTCTTATAATTTTTTCATTATTAGAATTTCCTATTAACTATAGAACATTTCTAAAATGTAGTATAAAGTACAGGAATCTAAGAACTTTTTATCATTCTAGTGCCAGTTATAATTATCATTTGATATTTCTTTTAAATACTGTATTAAACCAGCAAAGAATACAGAATAAAGTATTTATGTATTTGGACTCTACCTTTTCATTTTATATATGTTTTCTTTGATAACTAAGAAAAAGTACTGTAGAAGTTACGTTTCAAATAGGTTCATCATTTTCCATTACTTTAGAATTTCCTTCATGTTGAATATTTGCTTAGATACAAATATTTAACCCTGGACACAACAATAGGATAAATTTCTGGTAAATCTTTAGATTTAAATTTTTAATTTATTTGTATTTTTATGTATATGAGTGATTTGCCTGCATATATGTAAGTGCACCAGTGCATGTAATGCCCACAGAGGCCAGAAAAGGGTCAGATCCTCTGGAACTGAAGCCATAGATATTTGTTAGCTAACATGTGGGTGTTGGGAACTGAACCCAGGTCCTCTGCAAAAGCAGCCAGTGCTTTTACTGCTGAGCCATCTCTCCAGACACAAATCTTTAGATTCTAGATTGTTTCCTAAAGATCAATGATTCCCATCCCTAAGATGGGACAATGAGCCAGGTCCTTTATGCCCCTCTTAATTTTGCTGCCCTCCTTTTCCTCAAGGTAGAAGTAGGAAGTATATTTTATATGCACATGTAAGCATACACAAAGACACACACCCTTTGATAGTTTTCACACGTGTTCTAGTGTTAATTTCCTCTCAGAAGCTCATAAATGTTATCTGGGAGCACTGTTCTGCTTCCCACTTTTCTTTCCCTGCCTCATTTGAAGCTCATCCTATTTGGTGTGCCTTCTAGATTCGTTGGTATTATTCATGTATTGCTCTATTGTATGATTCTGTTCTCTGTCATTAGTGCAGCTTTTAATCCTTTGACATTTCTGACTTTTCTATACCCTTCTCAAACTCTTCTATTACCTTCCACTTAAACTACTGTCACCTTCTCCATGCCGGGTCCCCAGGACTTTTGCTTGTTTTTGTAATGGCCATGCCTCTTTGGGTCATAATGAGGATGCCGTTTTTATTCCTAAAGCCCTTTGTTTTTGTTCCACATCATTTTCAGAGGTCTCTACTTCCAATTACCCTTATGTAGTTTCTTCCTGTATTCCATCTGTTCATGCAAATAAAGAGCTAGGGAGGGTAGGGGATTATATTTTAGATGAGTTTTGGACCAAGTTTGGAAGGTCAAATGTTTTCAAGAGTTTTGTTCAGTGATGGTGAGCCCAGTATAGAACACTGTGCTTACAGCTCTACTCGACTTTCCTAGAGGTCCTACATGAATATTCTTTCTTTAGGAACCCTTTCCCCTATAAGCTGCAAATGCGAATGGCTCTCTATCCCTGAATTCTGCTCCTTGCTTATATGCATTTGTTCACATGTATTTCCATTGGAGTTTCCCATGCAATAACGGCATGTGGAGTGACCTCTGCTGTTAAGGGTCCTTTTTCCTTCCCTCCCTCCCTCCTTCCCCCCTCCCTTCATTCATGAAAAACTCCTCCCTCCCTCCCTCTCTTCCTCCCTCCCTCTCTTCCTCCCTCCCTCTCTTCCTTCCTCTTTTCCATTCCTTTCCCTTCTCTCCATCCTCTTCTTCTCTTCATCCTTCCTTTACTATCCCCTTTCCTATGTTTTAAAATAAATTATTTTATTTATTATTTTTTTAATAGAGCATAGGGTAGGGTTTAATTACAGAGGAGTGGGTGCTCCCCATTTACAGTTGTGCTGTAGGGTCCACACTCAAATACAGATCCTGTGACCTCCCAACAACGGCCTCACAAAATGGTGAGAGAGGTGCCTCTTGGTGTTCTCAGCACTTATATACCCTTTGCCCCGCCCCATGCAGCTAAGGTCGACTGATTGGGTGGGAGGGGTAACTGACTTCTCCCTTGACTCCTTGATGAATGTGGGAAGGAAGTGTGACTATAGCTTACCGGCATAGTGGTCAGAGTACACTTCCAGTTAACGCTCCACCTCTTCCTCTGGCTCTTACATTCTTTCAGCCAACCTCTTTTGCAAAAGTCCCTGAGCCTTAGAGGGGTGGTAGGTGTGGGTGATCTTCCTCTGGTGTGGCAAGGCACTGAACTTTCAGATCTCTGCATCATCTATTTTCTATGGGCTGTTGGCCAGTTTCAGTGGGATCCCATGACCATGTGGAGGCTGCATCCAGGAGCTCTCAGGTGGTCTGCTGTGTTCTCAGCTTCTAAGCCAGATGGAGACCAGAACAGCTGCTCTCAGGCTGTCCCTCCTAGTCTTTTGGTATCCTTTCCATTCTCTTTCCTTTTGTCCTCACTTCCATCTCTTTTCTCTTTCACTGCTGTTTAGGCTTAAATCTCTTCAAGTCCAGAAAGATGCCTGCCATGGAAACTCAGAGTCTAAGTGGGCCGATGTTTCCAAATCTGAGCATAGGAGTTCCAGCAAGAGTAGCTCAGGTCAGCAGAGCTCAGAACAGCAGAGCCCAGAGGTGATGCCTGACTATGAGAAACACCCTCGAAACGTGACTGCTGAAAAATCTGGTCTCCAAGGAAGGTCTGACAAATGCTCACAGATCTTTTCATTTGGCTTTAAAAAAAAAAATTGCCTAGTTAGTGGTAAAAGCCTGGATGGGGGGAGGATGACCAAAAAAATAAAAAAATAAAAAAAATAAAAAAAAAAAGACCTATGAAATGAAAACCCCAACAGTCTTGGAAAGGACTTAGAAAGGGTTTTTCTGTGACTGCACCCTTCTTGTTAGGGAAAACAACTCTGGATTTCTAGTACCAGGGCACTAATTTATCTTGATCTTGAAACCAGGCATGTGTGAGCTGGCTCTTCAAGGGATAGTGCCCATCTTGAAAGAACACACCATAAAATGAGGGCCTTTTTCCTGGAAGCCTAGGAGTCCTCTGCCTGGTGACTGGTGATTGTCTTACTACATGGTGTTATTTATGGTTTTTTTTTTTTTTTTTTTTTTTGAGAGAGTCCTATTTTGTAGCCCCAGTCAGTCTGCAGCTCACTATGTATTCAGTTGGCCTCAGAGTGCTAGGATTCCAGGTGTGAGCCACTGTGCTGGCTGGCATTTCCTTGTTCCTCTCTCACTTGGGTGGCAGCTGTATGAAGTCCCTTTCTCTACTCATGGACAGATGTTGAGGCAGATGAGGACAGTGCTAAGGACGAAGCAGCCGTGTCTCCAGTCTCTGCATTTCTACATTCTATTCCCCTCAGCCCCCTGGCATCCTAATTGAGGTTTTCAAAACACCAGTGCCTCCCTAGTCCTATTTGCTGGAATGTTAACTGAGCCCTTTATTTGTGGGGGCTCTCCTCTGTCTGTGCTCTTCTGATGTTGACATATACTAAAGAACTGGCCACACCATGAAGAAGGCATTCTCTGACCCACAGTCTGCCAGTGGCTGCATGCACTATTCCACAGCTCCTTCTGTCAGACTTCCCTTTTCTAGTCTCAGTCCCTTTGGGATGACTAGTCTGATAGTCTGACACTTTATTTTGCCCTTGATAGCAATCCAGTTTAAACCACAAGGTCCAGTGAAGTACTTGGGTGGTGTGCTAAGTACTCCAAGGGCAAACTAAAATATACCAGCATCTTACCTGTCCGCTAATTTGGCTCTTGCTGGCGGTGTTACTATGAGATGGGCCTGTTGAGCTTTCAGAACATTGTTTCTCCTGTAAAAACGGCCTGCCACTTTTGTGTCATACAAGATGACTCAAAGGAGAAGTTGAGGTGTGCTTAAGGGGAAAGGGTTTGTGAATTCTAATTAGACCAATATGGGGTGTTGTTTCTCACTTGAGGGATGGCCTTTGAAGCCTCTGGGGACAAAACTCGTTCCCATCATCCCACAGGACTAGTAGGGAGGACATCACAAGCAGACCCTCACCTCTGACCCCGTGTGGGAAGTTGCATGGCACTTGGGTGTTATTTGCGAACTATGTGGGGAGAACCAGAGTGCAGGGAAGTAAGTCCAGGTACAGGAGTGGAGTGAATCCAAGTACTGCCCCGCTCATTCTTGCTCACCCACAGGTCGGCCAGGAGCAGGTCTCCCAGCCCTTGCCACAGCAGCAGCCACAGCCGCAGCCGCAGCCACAGCAGGTCCAACAGCCCCTCCACCGCTATTGCCAAGATCCGAAGCCTGTCCCCGAACCGTTCCAAACTGTCGAGCATGGCGCGCAAGGCTACCCTCCTGTCCCGGTTCAGCGACGCCTATTCCCAGGCCCGCCTGGATGCGCAGTGCTTGCTGAGACGCTGCATCGACAGAGCTGAGACGGTGCAGCGGATCATCTACATCGCCACAGTGGTACGTGTGACCCCTGCAACCGGACTTCCGGTCCCCCGGGCAGTGGGAGATAACAGAGTGACTGGTGCAACCTTAAAAGGATGGTGCATCCCGAGGTCACTGAATGCGGGGATTCCAGTCTCCCCATATGCCCCCTTGCTCCCTTCCCTCCCAGCCCTCTTCCATCACAAATATTTGTGAGCGATTTATTATTCGGTCTGTCAGTGCTCATGCCTTATATATGTTAGCATTTATGTTGAGCAGACATTTGTTGAAGTGTCCATCAGTCAATGCAGGACTATGTCTTTCTAAGTTAATTGGTACTGTACCTTTGGTGGTATATGACTACATGACACACAGTAGGACTATTACTGCAAACAGTTATCACTTTATTGGTCTTCTAATTTAGGTCTTAGAAAACCAGAGGGTTTTTAAAAATTATTTTTATTTTATTATTTTTATTTTATTTTATGAGTATGCATGTATTGCTTGCATGTATGTAAGTGCACCGGTGACATGCAGTGCCCACAGACATCAGAAGAGGGCATCAGATCCCCTGGAACTGGAGTTAGGGACAATTGTTAGTTGCCATGTGGGTGCTGGGAATCAAATCTGGGTCCTCTGCAAGAGCAGTCAGAGCCATCTCTCCAGCCCCTTGCTTAAGTCCTGAAAGTTTTGCTAAAATTATATAGTAGTTACTAGAATTACCAATATGTCAGCTATTTGAGTATGGAGAATTAAAAAGATATATAAGTATAATCTTTGGTTTCAAACTGAATATATTTGTTCTATGAGTGGATGCCATTTTGAGATCTCATTATTGGAATGAACATAAGAAACAAAGCAGACTGTTAATATGAGAACAGATATATCAGAAATCCTGGATCTATTCATTTATGTCAAAAGTCAGCAAACTGTGCCCTTTGGGCCACATCCGGATCTGGCTTGTTCCTAAGATACTAAGAGCTAAGAAAAAATATGTGACAATTGCAGCCTGTGAAGCCTAAAATATTAACTGGTTCTTTATAGAGAAAAATTTACCAAGCCCTGGCTTATATAATTAAAAATAATTTACTGACTTGGTTAAGGCTGTGTAAGCACAGAGACTGTGTTTAGCAAAACTGAGTTTCACCAGTGTCTACTATAGAATAGGTATGTGATAAATGTTAATTGAATTCATAAATAACATCAACCTGTGACTGATCATTTTCTCTTACTTCCTGGCCAGTAATAAGTCATTGGTGTGGGCCTAAAGCAAAGGACTTATGTCCCCATGTCTGCACTGTCCTGCTGTCTGTACTCAGAATTACCAGCTCAGTGGTCACTCATCTTGAAATTAGCAATTGTGGGTTATCATGTTATATTTACTTTTCAAAATTGAGAGAGATATTGTCTCCCAGGTTAAAACCACTTTCGACAAACTATATTTACTATTCAAAGACTGATAGGGGTCTCATTTTTAATTGTCCATAATTCCTTTCTTTGGACCTGTTCATCTCCTCCTCTTTTCTGATAAACTTGCCATGTTTTTGTATGCAGGAGGCATTTCATGTGGCTAAAATGGCCTTTAGGCATTTCAAGATCCGGGTGCGGAAGATGCTGACGCCATCCCATGTGGGGTGCAATGACTTTGAGAGCACCGTCTCTGACTATATCGTTTGTCATCTTGATCTATATGACTCGCAGAGCAGTGTTACTGTAAGTGTTGGCTCTCTTATGAGGAGGAGCTTGGGGTTGCTGATGTCATATTGAATAATGATAACTTAGGAATTCTGCCTTGTACTTTTGATAATTACTTCTATATAGTGGAAGAGAAGAAACATTTAATTTGCCTTGCAGCACTTGTCCCTATTGGCTGCTACTTTGAGTGTGTGTGTGTGTGTGTGTGTGTGTGTGTGTGTGTGTGTGTGTTGCATGTGTGAGTGCATGTGTATGTGAGGGTCTGTACACATCTAGAGGTTGGAGGTTGATTACTGGCTGCCTCTCTTTATCACTTTCTACTTTATTTACTAACTCCGGGTCACTTACTGAGCCTGAGCTTGCCAATTTGGGGAGTCCAGCTAGCCAGATTGCCTTGGGGATACCTTGTCTCTGCCTCCCTGGGGATGTGATAGTTGGGCTTCCATACTTGCCTAGTATTTATGTGGGTGCTGAGATTTGAACTCAGGTCCTCGTGCTTACTGGCAAATGCTTTACCCACTAAGCCATCTCTCCAGCCTCCTTTCCTAGAAATTTTGTGGGGAAAATGTTCTGTTTCATAATTACATTCTTTAGATGGATCTTTAATATCGGGCTTTGGAATATCTTAGTTCTTAAGAGCAAGGGCTCTGGGAAATAAGTTCAGATTTGCATATTGACTTTGCCAGCTGACTGGTGTGTGGCCTTTAACATTAATTTAAACTCTCTGTGTTTTGATCAGATCTTTGTGAGATCGAGGCCAGCCTGGTCTACATAGGGAGTTCCAGGCCAGCTGGGGCTACAGGGAGACCTTGTCTCAAAATAAAACAAACAAAAAGATCATTATTTCATAGAGTTACTGAAGGGATTCAATGAAAGGAAGTAGACCATTTGTTTAGCACAAGACTTAGCACATAGTAAATACTCAGTTAAAGCAAGCTATTTCAGTTTTGTTATGGAGGAAGAACTAGCCAAGGTTCTTGATTGGCATTTCATATATAAATAAGGGAATGGGGCTAGGGAGATGTCCCAGTTGGTAAAGTACCTGCCACAGAAGCATGAAGACTTGAGTTCAGATCCCCCAGCACCCACTTAAAAATCTAGGTGCAGTGGCACATATCTGTAACCCTAGTGCTAGAGGGCTGAAGACAGGCAGATGGCTGGAGCTCATTGTCCAGCCAGCCAGCCAGCCAGTGAGAGACTCAAAAAATAAGATGAAGAGCAATCCAAGAAGACAACTGGCTGATGTTGACCTCTGGCTTCCACACACATCCAAATGCACATGTGCACATACTCACATGAACACATTCATACAACACACACACACACACAATATGAGGAATTAATAAATAAAATCCATGGAACTTTTTTTCTCCTTAGAGTTTTCAGAGGGATTTTTCTTGTCATTTTTGCCGCATCTTCTCTCCTCCTTCCCTACGAACTAATGACTACATCCTTCTCGTGGTGCATGTGCTGTTTTCTGGATTGACTTAGTTTCACTCACATCCTCTTTCCCACATCCCATCAGCCATAACTGATGTCTGGATCCTCAGGATGTCAGACTTTCTTGTCACAGGTTGGCAGCCAAGTGATGCCATCTTTTATTTTTCAGGATGTGATCCGAGCCATGAACGTCAACCCCAAGATCTCGTTCCCTCCTGAAGTTGACTTTTGCCTCCTCAACAGCTTCATCCAGGAGATATGCTGCATTGCCTTTGCCATGCAGTCCTTAGAGCCACCACTCGATATTGCATTTGGGGCAGATGGAGAAGTCTTTAATGATTGCAAGTAAGAAACACAGGAGCAGGTGCTAAGGGAGGCCCCATTGTCCCTGCTCCCTGAGAAGATGAGGGGAAGGAACTCTGGAGGAAGAAATCAATAGCTACTACCTGCTTTCCGAGCCCTGCCATGCATTCCTCTGTACTACAAGTGGGGTCTCCTCTTGTGTTCATACTCCACTGAACAGATTGGCTTTGGGGGGTACTAAAGAGGACCTGGAGCTTGACCAGACAGAGCACTTTCGAGAAAGGTGTTCTAGAAATGCACACAAAGCTTAAAATTTTATTTTTTATTATTACTATTTTTATTGTGTGTATGCATGTGTGGGTATGCATATGTATACACACAAGTGTGTACAGATGCATGCGCCTGTGCATGTGTCTGTGGAAGACAGAGGTTGATGTTGGGAAACACTGCTTTTTATTGTTTGATTTAGACTAGGTTTCTCAAAGTGTGGTGTGTGATCACCTGCTTGAGAATCACAGCACGTATGTATTAGAAATGCACACATCTGTACCACATTCCATGATGTTTTACACAGTAGGTCTAGGGTGTAGCTCAGGAAGCCATAGCTTATAAGCACCAGGCACACCTCATACACACTGATGTTTGAAAACGAATGGTCTGGACATTTGTCCATTAGATTTCTACAAATTTTACATGGAGGATATTCCCCTTATAAACAAGAGAAGTTAAAATAACCTAAAATATTTATTGAGATTTGACCAGAATGTTGCTATGACTGGAGATTATATGGAAAGAGATCACGCTAGTGTTTAAAAACATCAGCTTTTAACCAGGTATGGTGGTGTATTCCTTTAATCCCAGTACTTGGGAGTCAGAGGCATGTGAATCTTTGTGAGTTCTAGGTCAGCCTGGTATACATAGTACGATCTAGGCCAGCAGCAACATAGTGAGATCCCATCTCAAGCAAGCAAGCAAGCAAGCAAACGAATAAACAAAAAACAAAATAAAACTAAACAGCAACAACTGAAATACCAGCTGTGGCCTTGAGCTGTCTAGACTGAAATCCTGACTCTGCCACCTATTTCATATTAACTATGAATCTTGAGCATGACACTTTATTTTTCTGTTCCTTAGTGTCTTCTCTTTCAAGGGGGAAATGCTTCTTCCTTCCTCCTCCTTTCCTCTTCTTCCTCCTTCTTTTTCTTTGGTCCTTTTGAGATAGGGTCTCCCTATAGCCCCAGCTGGCTTAGAACTTGCTATGTAGACTAGGCTGGACTTGATTTCAGAGAACCACCTGCCTCTGCCTCCCGAGTGCTGGGATTAAAGTCATGTGTGTGCCACCCAGCTCATCTGTCAAGGTTCTTGATGAAGGAAACCACATACCTTCCTCTTATCTAGGCCAATCACAACTGGAATGAGCTTTCTGGTTGCATTGTAGCATGCCATTGAGCTGTTCTAGCTTCTTTCAAGTCATTACTCCCAAGGTACATCCATCTACTCAGGAAGAGCTGAATGTTAAAACAGTGCTCTGCAGTTGGTTCTTTCTGATTCTCTACAGAGTTCCTTAACGTCTTCCATCTTTATTACTTCTCCTTTGGAGGATGGGTAGTATTACTTAGATGCTCACCCAGATATGTTTGTGCAACCTGCATGTGTCATGGATGTCTGTTAGGCTTATCCACTGCATGCCTTGAACCAAAGGAAAACTCCTTGCATTCCTGCACAGCTGGAGTTCTGAACAATGAATGCGTTTGGTTCTACAGTTGGGCCTCTGTGTCCAGAAGTCCCTATCTGTTGAGTCAACCAACCAGGGATTGAAAATATTAGGGAAAACATGAATGTTGAACTATTTTCCTTATTAGTGTTTCTTTTCTTTTCTTTCTTTTTTTTGGTCTTTTTGAGACAGGGTCTCCCTACTATAGCCCCAGCTGTCCTGGAACTTACTATGTAGACCAGGCTGGACTTGAACTCACAGAGATCTGCCTGTCTCTCCCTCCTGAGTGTTTCTTAAACTATAGAATTATAGCAATAATAATTATTATATCATATTTACATTTTATCAGGTATTATAACTAATCTAGAGGTGATTTAAAGTATGCAGGAAGGGGTTGAAGAGATGGCTCAGCAGTTAAGAGCACTGACTGCTCTTGCAGAGGACCATGGTTCAGTTCTTAGCACTCACATGACTATTAACAACCGTACCTGACACCCTCTTCTGACCTCTGCAGGCATTGCATGTCACAGGTGCATTTACATACATGCGGGCAATAAAGTCCTTCATATAGAATAAAAATAATAAATAAAATATTAAAAATAAAGTATATAGGAGAAGATGCATAGATTATATGTAAATATAACACCATTTGTTTATTTGACAGTCCTGCTATGTAGATCAAGCTGGCTTGGAACTCACTATATAGGCCAAACTGACCTCAAACTCTTGATCCATCTGCCCCAGCCTCCCCAGTGCTGGCATTGAAGGTGTGCACCACCACATCCAACTAATAACTATTTAATGCAAGGCATGTGAACACCTGCTGAGTTTGTTACCTGCTGGGTCCCTAAACCAATTCCCTGTGGATACCAAAGAATTCATGCACGTCTAAGGCATCACAGAACAAATCCAGTGTTTTTGTACCTGGCAGCCTTTCATACACTTGGGAACAGTTATGAAAACTGTCTCTTGGCTTAATGGCTTTATATTTTTCATCTGGGGCGGGCTGGAGACTTTTGGACAGATTGATCTGTGTGCCATGCTCAGCTGAGTTTTCCTTCTAACAAAAGAGTACAAAAATTGAGTACAGGCACCTAGACTGAAGTGAGAAGCTGAGAGGGACTAGCCCCTTTTCATTCCTGTTCCCTCCCTATTAATTTATCTAGGTTTTATATGTTTTTCTTTTTCATTAACCTTAGAACACCATTGACACATTTCAAGTAAAACTAAACTTGCCATTGTATTTTGTTGTTTATGCTGTAAAACCATATATCTCCTTGTGTCCCTAAATATTTTTATACTCTATTGCAACCTGTACATATTCACACTGCATATTCTCTTATTGCATCCAGTTAATTGTTTCAGCCCGTGGAGCTAGTTTTTGGATATCATCATCTTTTTTTTCTGTCCACCTTTGAGTAGGTTTCCTATATTTCATTCATGCCATTGGTAAACACGTCAACTTACCCTTAGATGAGAGAGAGAGAGAGAGAGAGAGAGAGAGAGAGAGAGAGAGAGAGGAGAGAGCCCTCAGCATCTTCTTTCAGGTCCTCATCGATCCGTTCATTACCCCTCTTTAGATGTGATCATTGAACTACATTCCAGTCTATCTTCTTAAGTTAACCACTCTCCTATATTTCTTTTATTTTGTCCACAGAGACACCATGAGAAATATTACACAAAACTTTAGGGGACCTTGTCTCTTGCTTCTAGCATTTTCCAGTCTTAATTCTGAGAAGACAAGAGAAGGACTGAGATTAGTCAGACATGATGTGGTCCTAGCACATCCATGCCAGGGGCTGGTTGTCAGGTTCCTAGTCTGAAGGCCATGCCCATCTCTTTAACAACAGAATGAAGATCCATGCATTGGTTAGAGCTAAGCCTAATTGCAAATGAATGTTTCACTTCAGTTTCCCTTAGTTCTGTTACACGTTTGCTTGACTTCAGGCTGGGGGCATAGTTCAGTGGTAGAGAGCTTGCCTAGTATGTGCCAAAGCTCTGGGTTTGATCCCCAGCACTGAAAAACCAGTTGCTTACCTTCCGTTTCTTGTTCTACTGTGTATTTTCACAGGTACCGGCGCAGCTATGACTCGGATTTCACAGCTCCCTTGGTCTTTTATCACGTGTGGCCTGCTCTCATGGAGAATGACTGTGTCGTTATGAAGGGAGAAGCTGTCACCAAGAGAGGGGCTTTTGTACGGTGGCCTTGCATAGTGACAATTCATCCCCAGTGTTTGAGTCACAAGTTCAAGAACATTTATAAACCCCAAGATTATATAAAAGAAGTTGATAAAGAGTTGTTTGATAAGATTTCATACAAAGGAGAAGGAAAAACAGCTGCTTGTTCTTGATTGTCCCATGATTCTTTGCAATTCCCTGACAGTGACAGCTTTGCTATTTCCCTATCTGTAAGATGGAGCTAGTCATCTATCTGTGAATGGAGCTGGCCCATTTATCACTTCTATCTTAGAGATATTTTGGTATTTCTAGGGTAACTTTTTGAACTCATCTTGTTATAGAAGTTTTCTATATCCCTGAGCATTTGACAATGACTGATTAACTTTCAGGAAACAGTTTGTCAATATTTTCCTGATAATTCTCCATTTGGGGAAATTATGCATAGATCCTTTCTCTCCTTGGTATGACTTGTAGCGAGGGGAGGGATAGAGAAAAATGGGACAGAGGAGGTGGGGAGAAAGGAACCATTTGGCTTTGGAAGGTTTCTTCTTATATCCATTATTTATAAATTGTTTTGGCCATGTTGCATAATTAAGCATCCTTCCAAATAGAATTGTGGGGTGTGTGTGTGTGTGTGTGTGTGTGTGTGTGTGTGTGTATGCGTGTGTGATGTGTTAGTGGGAATTGAATGCTGAAACTGGAAGCCACAGGACCTTAGCTATGCATAGTCTGTGATACAGCATTTACCTCTGCCTTTCCTAGTCAGAATTTGGTGAATTCTCAAGGAACCCCGTGGTCCAGAGCAAAGCCAAGGTGGTGGCTTCTGTTCTTCCTTTCTGAACTGGGCAAGGCAAGATGTACTATGTGACTGCATATAGTGAAGGAGTAAAGTAGTTTACTTTCAGAGAATTAGGATATTTGTTTTTAGAGTGCTAAAATCCCATTTAGTGTATACTAGTTGCATAAAGTATTTTATGCTACAGAAATTGGGTCCATCAAAATTGAATTTTGTTCATCTGACAACACACATTCTCTACAGTGAATATTTTCTTGAATCATGAAACAGGATTCTTGCCTTTACAATTCTCTGTTTAAGAAATTCTTACTAATATAGAGCAGTTAGGAAAGGTGGGAGGGAGAATTGTTATACTCAGTGTCAAATAATTTTTGCCTATTGATTTCCTCCTTCTCATTCACCAAGCACATCACCAACATTTGCTCAAGCTTTAACCCTAAAACAAAATCATACTGTATAAGGAAGAGTTTAGAAAATAGTTGAATGGGGGGAAATTTCAAGAAGTATCTGACTTTTAAAATCCCATATAATTTTTGAGATATTGACATACAATAAAACAGCACATTTGTCATGTACATGATGATGGATTTGACTTGCAATTTTCTTCATTTTAATTCAGTAGCTGGGCAGCAGAAGAATTTCATTGTACTCGGTGATATTTATTTATTCTGCAGCACTGTATTTAGGTGGTAAAAAATTTAAAGTGAAAACCAAAACCAAACAAAACAGCCATGAATCCCTGAAGCACTTGCAAAGTCAAATGTGATCTCTAACAGCTTACTCATAAAAACATTCAACTAGCACCAAAATTTGAGTAGCCTCAAATTCATTGCTATGGGATTTTATTTGAGTTCTGTCAGATATTGGGGCACTGCAGAAAATTAAAGGAGTGCAGTTCATGCTGGTGTCCACCGTGGGAAAGTACAATCCTGTCAGTAGAACCTCTCTTTCTGTGGGATGTGCGAACTGCTGCCAGCTAGGTCAGCTTTCACACACATAACTATTTCTCTCTCTTGTTTACTTCCTAGTGGGGTTCAGTGCATCCTGTAACTCGGTGTCGCAGCAGGAGTTTAAGTCCCATTTACCGTCATAGCCACCTTGGGTTAAGCACGGTACATTTCTGTCTAGTCATTTGTATATAAAATGTAATATAATAGATACTTTCTTTGCTTAAACAGTTGCCTACACAAGGGATGATTATAAATCTACAGGTAGAGAAACTGTTTCTCTAACACAATCCCCCATGTTATTTTTATATCACTCTACTATGGGCTAAAAAATTTAGCATTCTAGAACTAAATGAAACATTTTTCAAATTTTCCTATTTATTTCAAGGAACAATACATTTTACTTATTTTATAGTTTTATTATCACTTTTAATGGGGTACGAGAGAGCAGATGGTTGGACATGGGATATTTGAGTCCAAAGATCTGAGCACAAGTCCCTGGTTCCTTTAGAAATTAGTAATATGAGGGCTGGATCAGTGATTAATAGCACTGGCTGCTCTTGCAGAGGACCCAGTTTCGGTTCCCAGCACCCACATGTGGGCTCACTGTGGTCTGTAACTCCAGTTTCAGGGAATCTGATGCCCTCTTCTGGCCTCTGCAAGCTTTGTACATGTGTGGTATGCTTACATACACACAGGCAAAACACTCACACATGAAATAAAAGTCAATGAAAAATTACTGAATAAATTTGGAGAAATTATATAAACGGTATCACTTTCAATACTTTGTAAAGGGCAGTGAAGGTACTAATTTGTTCCCAAATCCAAAGTAAGAAAAATTAGATCAGTTTCTTTGTGTATTAATTCTTGGAAGGATTACTAATCTTCCATTCAAATTAAAAACTATCAAAAGACTTTGCAAAAAATTATGGCTTTAGTGTCTCTAAAAAAGTCAAAATAACTCATCACTGTCTGTGTACTTGCCAAATAACATTTCGCAATGCCTGTAAGATTATGGGGCTGGACCAGGACAGACAGGCTACCGACCTGCTGTTCCTTCAAATGAAGATTCTTTAAGTATGTGTTAGTTAATTATGTTAAACATGCTATTTTCTGGGAAGATTTGGGTTAAGGATGGCTGCCCTTAGGTTATTGAACCCAACTTCCAATCAACAATATAATTTAAACCAAACTGGTTGTCCATTTACTTCAAAAACCAAACGAGGAATCAAAATGTGATATTCACATCACTCTCTTCTGCTTTCAGCTGTCTCGAAGTCAGAGTCCTTCTCCAATAAGATGTACATTGCCAAGTAAGTGGGATGGTTAAGGTGGAACAAGCTTTAAACATCCTTTCCAGTATGCCACATTTTGAAGCAAAATGAATGTTTGACTTCTCAAGGAATATCTGTCCCCTCCAACTTACACAATTCATTTCTGGCCTTTCTCTCTTGATGGCACCTATGCTGGTTCCATGGGTTATTTAGGAGGTACCTCCGTGGAGAGGTTTAACTGCTGCAGCCCAAGACTGGTTATCTTTTCTGTTTAGGCACCTTTGAAGAACATTCAAGAAAGTGAATATGATAATGAACTGTTTATTTTCCTCCCTAGGGTATTAAAACCACCAGCCACGTTCCTTTGCCACAGTCAATTGGAACAGCCAACTTCCTCAGTGCTGCCGTCTGCCTGTCCTGTCTGCCTCCAACCTCACTTAACATGATACGAAAAGGCAATTCTGTGTATCACTCCACACAGAGAGTTAAATGTTTTGACTTAGTGCCTTTGTAGCTCTAGGTACATCGCAGTTTATTGTAATTCCATTATTTCCATTTATTTCATAAAAACGATTGCATAGGTATTTAGGATCATATTCATTTGAACAAAGTCCATGGCAAAGGTACAGGACATCCCTCCTGAAGTACTGGGCTCTTTTACAGCAATTCTAGGAGCAAAAGTGGTAAGTCACTTATCATGCTGAGCCCAAAAGAAAGGAATCATCTAAGTTTACAGATCGGTCACATATGTTATCATTGTTAGTATCAGCTTTTAATTTCCTGAAACCCAAGCTAGGCCTTTTAAGATTTCAAAGCAGCCTTAGTCTCTGGCTGGGGAACTCATCTCAGCAACGACTTCAGGCTAAATGTAGAAGAGAATTTAGAAGGATGGGATTAGTTAGCTAGCTTCTCTGTTCCTACCTTGCAAGTGCCTAGTCTGGTAAGTGGAGTATTGAAAGTCAAAGCTACTGAATTGAGAGCCCTCCCTCCCTCCCTCCCTCCCTCTCTCCCTCTATCTTAATGTAAAAATTAGTCTCTGGAAATTCAAATTCCATTTCACAGATAGAGAACCCAAGGACCAGAAATGTTGAGACTCATCCTCATTCATATGGATACAGAAACAGCCAAAAGGAAGAACCTAAATCTCCCAATTTCTTTCCTTCCTTCCTTCATCCTTCCTTCCTTCCTTCCTTCCTTCCTTCCTTCCTTCCTTCCTTCCTCTCTCCCTCCCTCTCTCCCTCCCTCCCTCCTTTCCTCTCTTATTTTTTCCTTCCTATCCCCCACCCTCTCTCTTTCTTTGTATATAGGTGCCATTTAATCACAGCTCAAATTCGGAAGCTGCAACTTCAAGGGTCCAAGAGCTCACTCCCACCTGTTTCCCCCTTTCCATGCTCTCTTGTTAGACATACAGCTTAATTAATGAACAAACTAAACTAAACAGCTTATATACTGGCAAAGTATCACAGATGTGTTTATGTCAAAATAATAGAGCGCATGAAATGTGAGGGGGTTTTCTACAGAGCCATGCTGTGGTTAGAAGCCAGCTTTGAGGCCCATGATAATCACCTGGTGTTTATCTCATAACTAGGAATGTTTCAAACTGTTTTAATGAATGTGTTAAACTTAAACTTACCTGGGACCTGCTCTTTACTTACTCATCTAGTTGTTTGTAAATGCAGACCTCTTAGGAACTCCATTTGACTAGAGTGCTTACATTCAAGGCCCCAAAGGAGGGTCTTCATTTACTGATTTTGAAGTGAGCTTATCTCCCTTGACATTGTTTGCTTCATTGTGAAGTTCTGTGAGGCTCATAGCCAAGGTAAGAATGGACTGTTGCTCTTTCCAGATGAATAGGATTTTTTTTCATTTTCAGGCCAGCCTTACATATAAGCCTGACCACTTACCTTTTTTACATTTCTTTTAGAGAGAAACTTTGAGTCAATCAAAGTTTGGAATAGGCTCAGAGCCCACACCAGCACCTGCTGCTTTTCTGGTGGGAAACACAGAAACCATCTTCTCTAAGCATCTTGCCCCTATGATAGAGGGTGGAAGTACAAATCCCTCAGCCTCTGCTCCTTGAATGCTCCAGCTTGGTGCATTTGTGGGGTCATGATATCTTTGATGCCAGGCCATGTGTTATAAAAAACATTATATGCCTAGGTACCTCCTGGTTCCCTTTGGCCATTAGCTTGCTTTGTAGCCTTGAGAAAATTACTTCAGCTCTCTGAACCTCATCTTCATTGTAGAGTAATCAGGTTGTGTGAAATCAGTAGTTCCCCTAATCCTAAGAGACTCCTCAATGCCTCTTACATAGCAAAGATTTTATTCAGGGCATCTTGAAATAAAATAAAAGTTAATACAATCTATATGCACATATATTTTTAACAATGGATATACTATCCTGACTACAAATTCAAGCAGAAGAAAAAGAAAGTAATTTTAATAAAAATTTTTAGTAAAGAATGAGTGCAACCATTCTAGAAGGTAGAGTTGAGACTTTAAGTGCTGAGTTTTATGTAGCATCTGTGTGTGGACTCACCAGTTATGACTGCATATCAGCATGCATTATATTGGCAACAGAGGGCACAGTGTTGACATTGGAGGTGACTTTCTGAGATGGTGGGCAATTCTGGGTAACGTTTTTAAAAAACAGCCTTGTCTGACTTACATAGCAATGGCATTCATGAACAACTGTGTATTAAAACCATGCAATAATCACTTGTGTTGTATACTAAAATGTCTTTCCTAAAATCTAAGTATTGAGGATGCCTACGTATCAGAAATCACCTCACCCCAGAGCCAAATATATAGTCTAATTTGGGAAAATGGCCACACATAGTTCAGTTATTTGCTGTTGGTCCCATTGGGCCACCTGGCATTTCTTGTTTCTAATTTTAACTACAGCTACATAAGGAAGGCTGAACAGTCTAAAATAACTTTTGGAAAGAATCATTGAGTCCAAAAGAGCTGGTCTGATCATTGCATCTGGGTGTATATCTTAAATTTAGAGACTTAGAAAAGCTTGCTCTGTACCCTGATTAAACGCTGGTTTCTGTATTACTGACTTACCATCTAATAATAAAATCATGGAAAAGTGCCTTGTAACTGTGAGTTCTTTGCACTGGAATCCTTCCAGATTGCCAGGTTGTGCATCCCTCACCCTTTCTAATACATGAGATTGAACCCTGGCCACACATTACAGTAAATGCTGCCTGCCCCCTACCCTGAGGATGACCCAGGGATAGCAGCAGCTCCACTATGAAGCTTCATTGCTGGCTTTATTTTGTCTTATTTGGAGTCTTCTTGTCATACTCAGGATGCCCCCTGTGAATCCTGCATTACCCTTTTCATGCAGTTTCCACGTATATTATTTCAGTCCCTTTCCATAGTAGCTAGGTGCATCTTCAGCTTTATATTAAGGAACTTGTTCATCTAGTGCACTCTCCAGTCTTGTTTCAAGGTCTTTTATTTTAGAATAAGATCCTGTCCTATTTTCTTTTGTTCCTCCAAGGCATATGGCATTGGTTCTTTCTTTATTAACATTACAAGCAATGCATACATTTCCTGGATTTCTCCTCTATGCCCCCCCGATAGTGCTAGGGATAGAGGGCTAGATGAAGGACTGGTTTTTATGGAGTTTAATGCCCTGTCTAGCTGTATTTCTTAGTGATTTTCCCATCATAGAGAAGAGATATTAGTGAAGAAGGAAATGGAGGCAACAGTCTATGAAAGGCAGGTATGGAGCTCAGCTGCAATCCCAGCATCTGGGAGGCCAAGGCAGGAGGATTGCTAAAAGTTTGAGGTCAGCCTGTGCTATTCAGTGAGTTCAAATCAGCCTAAAATATATAGTGAGGCCTTGTCTAAAATAACAAAAAGCAACACACACACACACATAAATTTAGTAAAGTTAACAAAATGTTACATGTTGATTGAAGGAGTCAAAAACATTGACTTATTGGGCAAATATCCCTACATTTTAAGGGCAGCTAGGGGGATGGCTCAGTAAAGTGCTGGCTGTGCAAGCATGAAAATATCATTTGACTCTCAACTCATTTAAAAAGTGGAGCAAGACAGCATGTCCTTGTCACCCCAGTCAGAGACAGGTCAGTTGCTGGAGCTCCCAGGCCAATTGCTGGACCTCCCTGGGCAGCCAGACTAGCCAAGTAGGTGAGCTCCAGAGAATGTCTGCTCAAAAAACACAAGGTGAAAAGAAATTGGGAAAGATTGACCAATGTCAATCTCTCTTCTCCCCATGCACATGTACACATGTGCACATGTATACACATATGAACACATAGAGCACGCACACAAACACACACAGATACAGACACAATGCTATGAAAGGGAATGGTAGGAGACTTGTGTGGTTAAAATACACAAGAGAATGTGACTTTCAATTTTCTGTCATGCACAGGTGAATTAGTCTTGTAACAAATATTGAGTTTATAATCCTGGCATCATTAATTAAGCTACTATTAGAAAAAAAGTGGTTCACCGGTGATGACTTTGAACCTTTCCCCTTAACTTAACCCACTGTTTGATTCACCTGTTTTGTTCCTAAATTATAGGACAATTTGTGGACCATTCTAGTTTGCTTTTAGGCATGCTGAAAATCCTGGAATGAAGCAGATTGCTGCCAGCAGAACTCTCAAAAGCTAGGGAGATTGCTTAGTCTATTGCTTTGAAAAATTTCATACATATAATTATGGGTAAGGTGTGCTGGAACTTCTAAAAAACTCACATTGCAAACTACATTAGATCGTGGAAACATGAGCCCAGGAGCCATAGGAACAAGTGAAATTTAGTAGGTGCCATTTAAATACCAAAGCTGAGAAGCATGTTGGCCTTAACACAGTGAATGAGTTGAGGCCTTGAAAAGAAGGTAGGAACTGACCCTCATTTCAAATGAAATTGGGTAAGTTCACATTTGAAACACCGCCCACCAGGGGGCGGCATGAGCACTACTTTCATAACATCACGGGCAATTACCACCAAAACTGGGCAGCTGTTCCTGCTTTCTACTGGGTGAGAGTGATTTGCATGTTGCAGATTTAATTTCAAAGTGGGTCATGATACATTTAAAAAGTTTAGTAATGAAATGGTGTATTGAAATGTGATGTAAAATAGCTTAGAAAACAATTTAGAAGTTGGACAATTGTCAGAAGATCTTGGGCATCAATTTACGAATCAGTCTCTTAGCAATTCATTTCTGATATTGAGTTCCTGGGGGAGGGACATTACATCCTCACTGGTACCTCTGTCTCTTTAGACCAGGGAACAAGTTCCAGAGTGATGGCTTGAAACGATTGACTTCAGAGGGCTTGAGAGATGGCTCGGTGGGTAAGAGCACTCTCTGGTCTTGCAGAGCTTCGGTTCCTAGCATCCGGCAGCCACATGGAGGTCACCCGT